TACACAGAGATCCTTCTCCAGTTTTTGGGTAATGTTTGAAAATATATCACCTTGCTTTATAAGCTCTCTCTCTTTTCTCCTTCCTCACTTCATCTGGAGTTTCTTATTTCTTTTACTGCCCCTGTCCTCTTCAGTATGGGTCCTGTTCCTAGCAGGTTCTTGGTGTGGCTTTTGCTCTGGATGGGAGTTTTGACTGATTAGTTTTGAGCATTTTAGTGCCGGAGTTTCTATGCCCTTAGGAGTTTATTGTGGACCCTGTCACTCACATGCTACGATAGGAGCAGAACTCATTCTTTTTTACATACTTTTCTCAGTTTTGCCTGATGTGTTGTAATACAGAAAGTCCCTGTTGGTTATTTTGGAGTTCTTTTGTTCTGTGGACTGGCAAATGCCCTGTTACTGTACTCTACTTCTTCCCACACAGATGGTAAAACCCACATAAATCTTGTAGCTTTATTGGTGGTTCATCCCCATCTTCTGGTCCTTTGGGATTTTGTTCATGAGGTTTTGATTTTGCTATCTAATTGCTCAGATTTTATAAGGGAATTGGCAGAGATTTAAAATTTTAGCTGCTGTCACATCCTTCTTCCCAGAATTCTTACAAAATTTTTGAGAATTTTTGTGAACCACTAACCTCTAGACCATGCTGGCTTCTGCTCTCAAAGTTAACATTATGTTGCATTAAATACAAACTAAATATAGTTGAAAATTAACTATATAACATATATTATACTTGTTAATAACTAATAAGTTGCTGTCTAAGAGCCTTTCTGCATCATCTACAACTAGATATTATAAAAAAAATTTCTTATGTCTTTGGTGACCTCTTGAATGCATTAGCTAGGGAAAAGATACGGTAGAAAGAAGTGTGTGTGTATACACACACTTATATACTTATATACATACATATATACACTTATATACATGTATAAGTGCATATATGATATAAATAATAAACAACTATATGTTTGCAAATTTGCCAACACTGCTAGGATCTTTAAAAAATATATATAATAGCCTTACTGAGATACAATTCGCATATGTATAATTCATTCTTTTAAAGTATACCATTCAGTGGGTTTTAGTACATTCACAGTTGTGCAACCATTGCAGCAAACAATTTTAGAACACTTTCTTAATCTTAGAAAGAAACCCTATACTCATTAGCAGTTAATCCTCATTTGTCCCCAATTCCACCCTTTCCTCCCCACTAGCCCTTGGCAGTGACTAATATACTTTATTCTGTGTACATTTGCCTATTTTATACATTTCATATAAATAGAATCATACAATATTTCTGACTGTTTTTTTTTAACTAAGCATGTTTTCAAATTCATCTGTGTTGTAGCATATATCAGCTTCATTTTTTCCCCAAATTTTTAAAAAAAGATTTTATTTATTTATTTCAGAGAGAGAGAGAGAGCACGCCTGTGCATGCACAAGTGGGGGGAGGGGCAGAGGGAGAAGCAGACGCCCTGCTCAGCAGGGAGTCCATTGTGAGGCTCGATCCCAGGACCCTGGAGTCATGACAAGAGCTGAAAGCAGATGCTTAACTGACTGAGCCACCCAGGTGCCCCCTTTTCCCCAAACCTTTATTTAAATTCTAGTTAGTTAATATACAGTGCAATATTGGTTTTAAGAATGGAGTTCAGTGGTTCATCACTTACATATAACACCCAGTGCTCATCATAACAAGTGGCCTCCTTAATACCCATTACCCATCTAGCCCATCCCCCACCCACCTGCCTCCATCAACCCTTAGTTTGTTCTCTATCATTAAGAGTTTCTTATGGTTCGTTTCCCTCTCTCTTTTTTTTCCTCCCCCTCCCATCTGTTCTCCTGTTTTGTTTCTTAAATTCTACATATAAGTGAAATCATATGGTATTTGTCTTTCTCTGACTGCTTTCACTTAGCATAATACACTCTAGCTCCATGTTGCACCATGTTGTTGCAAATGGTAAGATTTCATTCTTTTTGATGGCTGAGTAATATTCCATTATAGATTAGATAGATAGATAGATAGATAGATAGATAGATGATAGATAGATAGATAGATAGATAGATAGATAGATAGATAGATAGACAGACAGACAGACCACATCTTCTTTATCCTTCATCAGTCGATGGACATTTGGGCTCTTTCCATACTTTGGCTATTAATAATGCTGCTATAAACATCAGGGTGCATGTACCCCTTTGAATCTGTATTTTTGTATCCTTTGGGTAAACACCTAATAGTGCAATTGCTGGATCGTAGAAGTAGTTCTATTTTTAACTTTTTGAGGAAGCTCCGTACTGTTTTCCAGAATGGCTGCACCAGTTTGCATTCCTATCAAGAGTGCAGGAGGGTTCCCCTTTTTCTGAATCCTCACCAACACCTGTTGTTTCTTGTGTTGTTAATTTTAGCTTTCTGACAGGTGTAACCATCATGGATTTGATTTGTATTTCCCTGATGACAAGTGATGTTGAGCGTCTTTTCATATGTCTGTTAGCCATTTGTGTATCTTCTTTGGAAAAAATGTCGTTTTTAGAAGACTTCTTTGGATAAATGTCTATTCATGTCTTCTGCCCATTTCTTAACTGGATTATCGGTCTTTTGGGTGTTGAGTTTGATAAGTTCTTTATAGATTTTGGATACTAACCCTTTATCAGATATGTCATTTGCAATTATCTTCTCCCATTCCATAGTTTTAGTTTTTTGCCTTTTAGTTTTGTTGATTGTTTCCATAGTACTTCATTTCTTTTTATTGTTGAATAATATTCCATTGTATGGACATATCACATTTTATCCATTCATCAACTGATGAACATTTGGAGTGTTTCCAATGTTTTTCTATTATGAACAATGCTACTGTGAACATTTCTGAACCAGTTTTTGTGTAGATGTGTGTTTTTATTTCTCTTGGGTATATGTCTTTTTCAGATGTATGATTTCCTAAATATGTTCTCCCTTTCTGTGGATTGTCTTCTTACTTTACTAATAATATAATAATATTCCTTGAAGGGACAAAGTTTTTAATTTTTTTTAAAGATTTTATTTATTTAATTGACAGAGAGAGAGACAGTGTGAGAGGGAACACAAGCAGGGGGAGTGGGAGAGGGAGAGGCAGGCTTCCAGCCGGGCAGGGAACCTGATGGAAGGCTCGATCCCAGGACCCCGGGATCATGACCTGAGCTGAAGGCAGTCGCTTAACCAACTGAGCCCCCCAGGTGCCCCCAAAGTTTTTAATTTTGATGAAGTCTAGTTTCTCTATTTTTCTTTGTCACCTGTACTTTTATCTAAAAATGTTTTGCCTGACTCAAGGTCACAAAGATGTATTCCTATCTTTTCTTCTAGGAAGAAATTTTTCTTTACTTCTGTATTTTCTTCACACACACATTTAGGTGTATGATCTGTTTTAAGCTAATTTTTGTATATGGTCTAACAAAGGGGCCCAAATTCATTTTTTTGCATGTGGATATTCACTTGTCCCAGCACCATTTGTTGACCCACATTTTCTGATATGTAGTACATTCATTTTTCTTCAGTTCTACTTTTTCATTTCTATTATGATTATTTCTTTGGTATATGAGTTGTCTCAATTTTTTTTCCTAACCCATTTGTGATCTTTCTACTTAAGTTTTTAAACTGGTTTCTTATTTAAATGTATTGTGCTCATTTGTAGAATATATGACTACTTCTTAGAAATTCAAAGAGAGTAATATTATGGTCTAGCTATAATGTAGTCAGTGTTTTCATTCCTTGTGTGCCTGAAAGGATGAATATTCACCAGTTGTTGGACATAATGTTATATCTCTTAGGTCAAGCTTGATAAATTAGACATTTATATCATTTGTATCCTGGTGACTTTTTTCATCTACCCAATGTTAGTTAATAAATGACATTGCATTGTGTTATATTGAAATGTGTTAAAATTTTCTCCCACCATGGCGAATTTCTCTGTTTCTTCCTTTTAGTTCCTTTTTCTATGTTTAGTTTTTCTTAAACATTTATTAAAAGATTTTATTTATTTATTTGTGAGAGAGAGAGTGAGCATGTGCAAGTGGAGGGAGAGAGATAGAGGGAGAGGGAGAAGCAGACTCTCCGCTGATCAGGGACCTTGAGATCATGACCTGAGCTGAAGGCAGATGCTTAACTGACCGAGCCACCCAGTCTGCCCTTATGTTTAGTTTTAACTTAATGGAAAGTTTCAAGCGTACACAAAAGAAAGAATAGTGTAATTAATTCCTATTGCCCTCTCATCTTTAACCCTTATGAATATATATGGCCAATCTTATTTTATATATATTTTCTCTACCCTTTCTTTTATGTTCCTCCAGTATTTTAAAGCAAATCCTAGACATAACTGTATTACTGTTTTATAGACTCAATGTTTAGATTTATTCATACATTTACCACAGAATTTGCTCACCATTCCCTTTTACATTTTCACCTATCTGGAAGCATTTTCCTTCTGCCCAAAACCTATATATTACAGTATCCTTTAGTGAAATCTTAGTGGTAAATTTTATCCATTTTTGTTTCTTTGAAATGTTTTTAATCTTGAGCATTTTTAGAAAATAAGTGCAGAATTCAAGTTGACAGTTATTCTTTCTGACCATTTTGAAGGTATTATTTCCATGCCTTTTAGCTGCCATTGTTGTTGTTGAGAAATAGAAAGTCTAATTTCTGTTTCTTTGTAGATAATCTCATTGGCTTCTTTAATGACTCTCTCTTTTTCTTTGGTATTCTGTAGTTTCACCATGATACGACAAATGAAAGTGTGTCATAGGAATTAAATGATAGTATTTTTGAGTTATTAGATTTAACTTCTTAATATTCTAAGTGATGTGGTCTTAAACAGGTATATAAGGGAATATATTTTATTTTAAAAAGCCATATGGTGAAGACTTTTAGAGTACATGATTCTTAATTTTTCAGCTTTATAACTTTCTTCTCAAGATCATGTGTATATACATGATGTAACATGGTATAGTATGCTTTCTGTATCTTTCTACAGCACTGTTGGAGATAATTATGAAAAATGGAAGCACCGCTGGAAATAGCCCTCATTGCCGAAAACCGTCAGGTTGTGGTGATCAAAACAAGCCTAATTGTACAAAGGACAGCACATCTGGTAGCGGTGAAAGTGGAAAGGGCTACACCAAAGACCAAGTAGATGGAGTTCTCAGGTAGGGATAAATATGACATATCTCAACTAGAATTGATACTAACATAATTTTTTAATGTTATAACACCTAAAAAAATGTGTGAACTATAATTCAGTGGAAGAACAAACCCAGAAGAATTGAACTCTGGGTGTCTTATGCCTTATGTTACTTATCAGATCAGTCTGTAAAGTACCAACTCTATGGAAGTTTCCATCTTTTAAAGTAACTTATAAGGCAAACGTTGCTTCCAGATATTTTTTCTTGGGGAATATTATTTCAATTTTTTGACACAGTGTAATATTTAGATAACTGTATTAGGAGAGGATAATAGAGGAGAAAGAATTGTTTTGTCTTTGTATACAGGAAAGTAGGAGAATTTCATATGAGAGGAAAATTGAGGGCAATAGCAGCAACATGTTCAAATTCACTTGTATTAATGTAGCACAATTTTTTTCTATTTCTTTAAAGACATCTTTATATATATATATGCAAACATATAATTATGTCCTCTTCTTTTAATATTTTTCATACTCTAATTATTCTGCCTCTGTGTTTTTAGTTTTACCTCATGTTATACTTCTACTTTAAGTAAAAGAATTAGGTAGAGTTGGAAAATTGTGAACTAGATTTTGGGTCTCTGATGTAACTGATTTTATAATTAAGAAAAGCTTTTCTGGAAATAAAATGAACCTTTGAGTATGAAACACTACAGAAAATGCTGTTTTGTTTTCTGCTACAGCTTAGGGAAACTTTATTGATATTTTACTGATGTTGCTCTCTAGCAAGGTTGAAGGACTCTAAACAGTGATTAATCAGATAATTCACATGGAGAATGAATTATAGTACAGTGAACTAGCTCAAGTGAAGAGCAGATAAAACTAGATTGTCTTTCTCTTAATGTTTTCTTATCTACTTTTCTTCTGATCTTATTTCCTTTTTTTCCTCATCCTTTTTTCTCCATTGCTTTTTAGTTCATTCTTTTTTTCTTACCATAATTTAGAATTGAAGTCAGTTTATTTTTTTATTTTTTTAAAGATTTTATTTATTTATTTGACAGAGAGAGACACAGCAAGAGCAGGAACACAAGCAGGGGGAGTGGAAGAGGGAGAAGCAGGCTTCCCGCAGAGCAGGGAGCCTAATGCGGGGCTCAATGCCAGGACCCCGGGATCATGACCTGAGCCGAAGGCAGATGCTTAATGACTGAGCCACCCAGGCGCCCCCTAGAATTGAAGTCATTTTAAATAAAATATCAATTGATTTACATTTTTCTTTTTTCCCTACATATTTAGATGCTAAGCTTGATTGTAATATTTTATCTGAGGGTGGCCACAGATGTTGGTGTTGGTGGAAGAAAAGAAAAAAAAGACTACCTAATCATGGTGAAGCCATGCTAAAGGCTATTTGATTAGCATGAATGGTAGTGAAGCACTTTTGGGATATAACTTTGCTAACTACTTTTATAACTAGTATTGTGTGATTGAGAGTTGGCTGACTATGTGAGATAGGTGAATGAATAAATGAGAGACTTCCTTTTGAATTTCTTCAAGAAAAAGCTTTAATTAAATGGTGTACTGAAATGTGTTCCAGGAAACCACATCTATTTGAAAACAAATTGTATTTTCTTGTAGAATTGACTTTCTATTGGGAGAATGTGTTCTTAATGAAAGACCTAAATAAAGTTAATTGTATTATATGTGATTTCTGTTTAGAAGCATTTTGTGATTAAAGAAAAGACTATAGAACTACTTATGTATTTTGGAAATATCACCAAAGAATAGAGTTGAAAGTTTTGGAGAATAGGTATGCCCTAAATCTGGTGCTATTTTTAAAAAAATTTTTTTTCTTCGTTTCCTCTGTCCTCCCCTTAAAAGGAAAAGAGGAGTAGCTCAAGGTATGGTAGAAATAAGGAACGAAGAGCAGTGCTTTGTTTTACTATCTCTTGGAGTATTTAGGCAGGGTATCTTGAGAATGGAAGAATGAAAGATGATGGTGGGTACAGATATACTTTGTGTATGGCCAGATTTGGAAAGATGGAAACAGGAGATTGAGGGAGTTTCTGTCTGTTGGCTTCTATATTCTCTGGGAAATTGGAGAGGAGGTTATCCTCTGAGAGTTAGAAGAAAAGAGATGAGATTGGAAACTTGAGGAGAGTTGTAAAAGTATGGAAAATTTACAGAGTGGAAAGGCAAAGGGAATGGAAGGATTGCTCGTTAGCTTTGAGGACCTAGCCAAGTTTCAGACCATGAATTCTTATTGGGTATAAGTATTAGCTTAGTAGTACAGCTGTATTAGAAATTGTTTCTCTGGTCAATAATTTTCTTATCCCTTTTTTATTAAATTCAGTTTTTTTTCCTCTGAGGACTAAATGTGATTGGAATGTTCTTTAATAGAATCCCTAAGTTATTCAGAGTACTTAAGTGGATAACTTATATGAGTTGCTTAGCTGAATTATGTAACATTTACTCATTATATTAGCCTTCGTTAGTGTTGCTTTAGTGAGGTAACAGATCACCAGCAAACACTTAGATGCTGTATGTTTTTGCTTTTTGTTTTACCTGTACACAGGGGATTTTTTTTGAAGAAAACCATGTTATCTTGTGTTAGCAGGATTATGTAAACAAGTTGCTCAGTGACAATTTGGCTCAATGGGAGAAGCCATGCAATAATACTGCATCCATTGCATAAGTAAGAGCTAGCTTACAATAAGACTGAAGAAAAAATATAACTTTGTAAAGTTATATTGTAATATTCTGTGTAACTAAACACTATTTTTGAATTGAAATATATTGAAAAATTATTGAGAAGTGTCCTGGATCTAATTTGAAGTTTTTAATTTCTCATTGAAAAAAAAAGCCCATCTTTTATTTTAAAAACTTACAAGATCATTGTAAAGCATTAACTGGGTCATCATTCTATTTATCAGTTAGGAACACTTCTGTACAAGTATAAGTCATTTGAATTATGGGGATTTGATTAGGATTTGATTTAAGCTGTAGTTCTTGAAATGAAATCATTTTACTAAACTTACAAAATAAATAATCCTTTGTCTAAGGAATAAATATTTCCCTAAACACCAGTTAAATTTGGATTCTATTTAAATGATCAGCTATAACGTGCAAAAAAGATGGGACGCCTGGGTGGCTCAGCCAGTTAAGCGTCTGCTTTTGGCCAAGGTCATGATCCCAGGGTCTTGGGATCAAGTGCTGTATCGAGCTCCTTGCTTGGCAGGGTGTCTGTTTCTCCCTCTGCCTCTGCCCCTCTCCCTGTTTGTGTTCTCTTTCTCTCTCTCTGACAAATAAATAAATAAAATCTTAAAAAAAAAAACAAAACAAAACAGGAGTGCCTGGGTGGCTCAGTTGGTTAAGCAACTGCCTTTGGCTCAGGTCATGATCCTGGAGTCCCAGGATTGAGTCCCGCATCGGGCTCCCTGCTCAGCGGGGAGTCTGCTTCTCCCTCTGACCTCCTTCCCTCTCGTGCTCTCTCTCTACCATATTCTCTCTCTCAATAAATAAAAATCTTTAAAAAATAAAAATTAAAAAAAAAAGAATTGAAAAAGGACCTTCCTGTCCTATCCACTATGCTTTCATTCACGTAAAGGAAGACATAGGGGCTGAACTAGATGTATTTCTCCATTGTTGAGCTTGAAGTCAGTCTTTCTGGACTGGTTGTACGATACTTCCTTCTGGGGTAGGTAATAGGTTACCTCTTTTTAATTCATTTTCTTTTTTATCTCTTTTAAAAAAATTCTTTGGTGAAGATGGAGAAGGTTTGAATCTTTCAGTAGGGAGTGAACTGTAGAAACTATGACAAATGCATTTAATTGGTGAAGGAATGATGAATAAAAATATGAATTAAAATAAATATATGAATGGTAATTTTTGATTCAGGTGTGAAAAATTAGGTAAATGAGTATATCTGGAGCATTACTTGAAATACATAGTGGTCTTCAGCTGGTACATTGGTGATGTCAACTTTATACCTCTCTGCTGGCTTCCCCGTCTTTGTGACAATTCTTAGCTTTATGACCCATTTCTAGAGGATTGTGAATTCCAACCTCTAATTTCCCTACAGTATCCAACAGTCCTCTCTTGGGCTGCCTTTTTCTATTGCCTAGCCTTTTATGCTCAGGAAATCTTGACAATTTTGGAGGGTTAATCTGGTATATAATTAATCATCTTATGCATACAAACCAAGTAATAATGACTTTAGGATTGTTTAGTGTTTTATCACTTCCTTTTGTTTTCTGCATTCAGATACTATCTATCATACTCATAGCTCTATTCCTTGTCCTACAGTCTGTTCTCCTCTATTCCAAATTGACTTTTGGTGCCAACTACATTTTTATTATAGCACTTACCACCTTTGACTTTTAGATCCTAACCATTTCTGCCCTTACATTGGACTTAGTCATCCATCTGTCCATTCATCATCCATCCATTCAACAGATACGGTGAACAAGACATAATCCTTGCCTTCAAGTGGCCTGTAGTCTAGAAGAGTAGTCAGACAAGGTAGCTGCAGTACACTGTGGTAGTTGCCGGGAGAGGGCTGACGTCCAGGGGGCTTTGCGGGGGATATAAGAGGAACGCCAAACCTAGTCTTGAGGAATTTGAGTTCTTGAGAAAAGGAAAAGCTAAGTTGAGGTCTGAAGAAATTGTAGAAACTAACTAAGCAAGAAAGGAGGCAGAGAAGGCATGTTTTGGGCACCAAAACCAACATTTGAAAATACCTACAAGAGAAGAGTCCATTTAAACACTGGAAAAGCAACAGAAAGGAAGAACTGGGTTACTCTGGTATCTGAAGGACTCCTTTTCCTTGTTCTGATTCTGAGATAACAGGATTTTCAAGTCAGACAGACTGAGGTTTGAATCCTTACTTGTGAGACCTTTCCTAATTATCCTATTTAGAAAGCTGGTCTCCCTGTCCATTCTCGTCTCCTTTGTCATTTTAGTTTTCTCTAAATATTTACCACTGTATGATGTACTTTTTATTTTACTTGTATAATTTGTCCATTGCTCATCCCTCTCCCATTTGTAAATTTAGTGTGAACAGGGTTTTTTTTTTTGACTGTTTTATTCACCATACCATCTGAAACTGTCTAGCAGAAAGTAGATGATCTGTAAATTTTTGTTGAAGAAATAAATTTCAGTTCCCATCTATTACTTGGTTATAGGACTTAACCATTTCCAGCCTCAATTTTCTCATTGGTTAGATGAGGAGTAAATGAGACAATTTGTATAAAATAACCAACATAATAAGATTCTGCAACTCTCTGTTGTGAAATCTTTGTAGACTAGATGTAGTTTGGAATTCAGAACTGTTCATATTTTAGAAAGGTAATAAGGGGCATATATTATACATAACATAGTAACACTTAACATCTGGCGAGCAGCCCATTACTTAATAGTAACATTTCCGCAGCAACATGGAGAAATATTCACACTTAAATGGGATAAATGAAAACTCTAGCAGCTTCACACCCATTCAGGTCAAATTTTGCCTCTAAAAGAGTTCAAGTCAGGTTTTTGCAGTCAAATTATAGAATAACTTTCATTTTTCAGAGCTTTATGGATATTGGAACATGGATATGTGATTGTGGACCTTGCCTGACACACAGTAGGTGTTCTATAAATGTCCCCTTTCCCTTTTTCTCTATCACACAGTTTCTAAATATATCTGGGAGAGTGGGTCTCTACAAAGGCAGGAATCATTCTGTTTTATTCACTAATATATGTCAAGTGCCCAGAGCACTGTCTATGACATAATTGGTGCTCCATAAATATTGTTGATTAAATAAAGGAAATATCATGTTTATGAAATAATTGACTGTTGACTGTTAATATTTATTAAGTATCTAAAGTAGGAAAATCCAATTTTAATTATTTTTTTAAAGATTTTATTTATTTATTTGACAGAGAGAGAGAGAGACAGTGAGAGAGGGAACACAGCAGTGGGAGTGGGAGAGGGAAAAGCAGGCTTCCCATGGAGCAGGGAGCCTGATGCGGGGCTCGATCCCAGGACCCTGGGATCATTACCTGAGCCAAAGGCAGACGCCCAACGACTGAGCCACCCAGGCGCCCCCCATTTTTAATTATTACCATAAAGAAGACTGCATAACAGATTTTTGTTGATATGTGATTATAAAAAAATTTCTATAATCTTAAACCTGTCTTTTTTTTTTAACTTTGTTCATTTAACAAATGTTGAATGTTTTCATTATAAAAAGAGAGCTAAGGCTCATTTATTCCAGAAATATTTACTGAGAACCTATCCTGTACCAAGCACTATCATGGCTTATAGTTTCATTAGTAAAATAAGATCAGTCTTGTCTTTTTCCTTTGAGAACTTTGAGTCACTGCAATTCTTCAGCTGCCGGTGAACAATTATGCCTTAGATCTTTTCTCCTGTTACTACCTTAAGCCACTCACCCATGGAATACATCTAAGGTCGTAAAGTACTCTACAGAAAATGTTTAAAATGTTACTGTATTTTAGTGAAGGAAAAGTAATTAGGTTTTAGGAGAATATTAGCATTTAGAAGTATTAATTTTCTCTGCTCCATTCAAGTATTTTTTTTTCTTAATATACTTCAAAGACTCTGGGCCTAAATCCGTTAACATCTTTAATTAGCTATATAAGTAATCTTTAGAAGCATGCTAATCATAATGAAAATTGGGTGTAACAAGCATTTTTGAGTCCTGTGATATTTATTATTATGAGATTTTCTTTTTCTTAGACTGACAGACAAGTTCTCGTTAGTATAGCAGAGCTGAGTTAACTTGCCTTGGCATTTAAACCATAGGTTACTTGTAATTGTTTTACATGCACTAAACTGTAGCTTTGATATTTGGTAGGTCTACGTTATGTGACAACAAAAATCTTGGAATGCAACGCGTATTAATTAATCTTTAGCTACGACATACTATAACATACTTGTGAAGAGTTCTGGAATTTCTTTGTGCACTTAAGAGTACTGTACAATTGTTCTTGTCCTCTCATTTTAGTTTCAGTGTGTGCTCTGTCCTTCATCCATGATTGTTATGGGCTTTGCTTTACTTCTCTAGTTGTGATAAAAAGCACCAAGGACATTCTCATGGTCAACTCTCCTTAGACTGGAAAGAGGTTAAAAAATGGTCTGTGGTCAAAAAAGAGAATGAAGCAATAACCTTTTATGGGATAAGCTATCATTTGACACTGAGAAAACAATCCACAGTTCTTTCTACTGTTCTAATAAATAAAAAATGAGAGATATTATTACATGAAGTTCTTCCTTGAAATTTACATTATAACACACTCTTTTGTTTACAGCATAAACAAATGTAAAAATTACTATGAAGTACTTGGAGTTACCAAAGATGCTGGTGATGAAGATTTGAAAAAAGCTTATAGAAAGCTTGCTTTGAAGTTTCATCCAGACAAAAACCATGCACCTGGAGCAACAGATGCTTTTAAAAGTAAAGTAAACCTTTTAAAGCAATTGTACTAAGCTCTTTTTAGAATCCACTTTACAGTGTTTTAGAATATTAAATTCTGCCTTTAGACTGGTACATTTAGAAGCCAGCATAAGTAAGGTCCTCAAAATCCTTTAAAATTTTACTATTAATTATGCCAAGAGCCAAACAAATGCACTGTGGCTTCACAAAAGCAAAATGCCAGTTTTGGCAAAGTCCTAAGTAACTTTTCTAGATAATCATGTGTACTTTCTAGTTTACCACACACTAGTAGTGTGGTGATTATACATGAGCTTCTAAACTAAAACAAAATATAGCTTTTGCAAGTTTTTAGGGTAATAGAGACTGTCTAGAATTGGGAAATTGCTTGGAATTTTCTGCTTGTGTTCTTATATTTCTGTTAACTGGCCAACTTTTGCATTTTCTTATATGTGGTTCTAACTAATGTGACTTTTTTTCTTTTTAAGAATTAGTTTCTTTGGGCGCCTGGCTGGCTTAGTCAGTGGAGCATGCAGCTCTTGATCTCAGGGTCATGAGTTTGAGCCCCACATTGGGTGTAGAGCTTACTTTAAAAAAAAAAAAAAGAATTTGTTTTTTTCCTTTTGCCTCCTATTTATTTTTCTTCATTTTCTTTCTTAGTATTATTTCAGGGTTGGGTTTTGTTTTGTTTTGTTTTTTGCCAATTTAGTAAATACATGTCAGAGAGTTGATTTTTTATAATTTTGTATTTTATTACATACAATTTATTCATAATAGTTAATTTCTAATTCATAGGAAAATGCTTATATTTGTGATTGTTCCTTCTTTTGAATTTGGCACTTACAGAGCCAACATACAATGTTTGCAGTGAAATGTTGGGGTCTTGGAATAACATGAAGGAGATACTCATTTTTAAAATGCTCCTGGGGCATCTGGGTGGCTCAATCAGTTAGGCATCTGACTTTTGACTTCAGCTCAGCTCATGATCCAGGGTCCTGAGATGTACCCCGCATCTGGCTCTGCATTGGGTGTGAAACGTGCTTAAGATTCTCTCTCTGCCTCCCTCTTCCTCTGCCCCTCCCCCCACCTCACGCACTCTTTTTCTCTAAAAAAAAATAAAATAAAATGCTCTTAAAGGTAGATGATTTCATTGGTCTTTCACAAAATAATGTTTAAATTGTTTCCAAAACAGTTTTATATCTTGAAGGAAGTTGCCAACTAAAATATATTCAGGCAATTATTAATATGTTTCAATTAAAGCAACTGCCAAGTGGTGCTGGTGAAAGTAAAATATCACTGTGATAGTGAGAGCCTTCTCTATTTGTTTCCTTAAGTTAAAAGTGGCATGGTGAAAGTACAGAAAATGTTTCTTTACTCAAAAACACTAATTTTAGCACATTCCCCCAAAAGTTAAAAAAAATTTTTTTTACATTATGAATTAAAATCATTTAATTTAAAATTGTTGGTGTTTTTAAATAGTGAAAAACATTTTGGCAGTGAGTTTTTGCATATTTGTGATTTGCTAAGTGATTTTGGTATTAATTCTCCATTAATGTTAAAAATGTTAAACTGCTTTCTCTGACTTCTGTATTGAAGTCATTTAGCATTATTAGTCTTGGAATAACAGTAAGTGGACTTCCCAATATTTTTACATCCTATATATTTTGAAGAGGTGAGCAGCATAAATGTCACCCCAGCTAGACATTCAGACGGGGCTTTACAAAGGTGATTACACTTTGATGTGGTACATTTCAGAGTGTAATGCTCTACTTTGCACACTAAAAACTTAATATTTATCAACATGCTGGGAGGTGGTTCATCTCTAGAGAAGAGGCTCACATTATTCAATACACAGGAGGTTATCTATAAATCAGAATGCCAATTTATTAATCCCAAAGAGGATCAGAATAGGGAGTTGGTTGATGAGCCCATTTTTCATTGAGTGGAAACTACATAGAAAACTAGATTGTAATCCACAGATGCTTGGTGAGCAAAGGTAGTTAATTAGAAAATATTACAGTTAGTGTCATCATTCAGAAATGGCAGGTTTCATTTATTCAGCTCACAGAGTCTTTTCTTTATCTTTTGAATCATTTTATTTTTAACCAATTGATCCTAACATCTGTTTTTGGGATACCAAGCTGTTTATTTTAAGCAAATACTATAGTTTTTTTTCTTTTGTATGAAAATTAAGTATAGATTGATTGCTCTGTAACTACCAAAACACTTTTTACAGAAGATGGAAACCATTTGCTTTTTATTTCCTCCAAGAATAGAAAAAGAGAAGGTAATTGGTTTAAGGAATTAAATTACATAGAAGAGATATTTTCATTTGTGTGTGTGTTTGTTTTGTTTTGTTCTTTAAGTAAGCTCAGTGCCCAAAGTGGAGCTTGAACTCACAATCAAGAGTCATGTAAAAAAAAAAAAAATTGCTGAGCCAGCCAGGTGTCTTTTCATTTATGTGTTTTGTAAAGATTTAAAAATTAAGAGGTTGCTATCAAGGAAGATAGACTAAATGAACTCTTAAGTTCATGTGGCTGCTTGTTCTTTAAAGTTAAGGTTGTAACTCAAGTTTCTCAAAGCAGGGAATATTTTATTTACATCTAGAGAGTGACTTGCACAGTATATATGAACATACTTTTAAAAAATATTTGAATGAAATGGATCCCTTTCCTTCTGTCTGACATGGATGTCTTCAAAATATACCTGGTTTCCTTTATCTTCAAAGACAAATACTTCAAAGTATTTCAGAGACCATTTGAAGAGTACGTGTGCCTATTGACATACACGTGAGAGTAATAAGGGGCGTGGTTTAGCTGTTTACGTGTTTACTTGATAAAAATGGATCAGATGCTATTACCTGTGTTAGGTCTGGTAGTTTAATATTCTTAACATCTGGGCTAGTTTTTATAGAGAAATACAACAAGAGCATATGAGATATCCTCTTACTCAAAGAATTTGTAATTCAGTAAGGAGAGAAAATCACACAGAATATTTGGAATAATAGTAATTCCTAACATTTGATAAGCATTTTATAGTTTTTCATTCCTATGTTTTCATTTAATGCTTATTAAAATCTTATGATGTAGTCAGGGGACTAGTGTCATCTGCCTTTCCCCAGTAAGAAAATTGAGGCTCAGAGAGATTAACTGGTTTACCCAAGATCTCCCAGAAGACTGAATATAATTAAATACCAAAACATTGAATAAAGATGTTGGAAGAAAAGTCAGAAAGATAAAGTAGATTATAATCAGAGTAATTAGAGAAGCCTTCATATAATAGGTGAGAATTAAGAGTTTTCTGGACATGAGTATGATTAGAGAAAAGAGAAAGTGGCAGAAATTTGGGTATGAGAATGAGACAAGTGATCTAAGAATCAATGAGGACTTCCACTTTCAAGAAGATGGAATAGATGTACTTTTCCTTATTCCTTGCATAAAATATAATTGAATATTATGTATAAAACAAAACAAACATTAAAAAAAACTTTGAAAGGTGGAAAGAAGAAGGTAGATGAGCTAGGGACCTTGGGACCCAAAGAACTACATGGCAGTAAGTTGCTTGGGTTTTCATTTTGCTTTTTATATCTTAGACTAGGTGCTGGAGAAGCAGACAGCTCAGAAATACCAATAAGCACAGATAAACAATCCCCAAGAAAAGCCTACTTTCTCTAGCTAAACACCCAGGAAGGGGGCAACCTAGTAAGACAGAAAATTTTTAAGCAATAACCATCCAATATAGCCAGATATCAAAGAAAAAAACTGTGGTCCCATCCCACCCACCCCCACATCAGCCAAGGCTGAATAAAGAACATAACCTGTCACCCTCTCTGGGCTGCAATAAGATGCTTTGACATGCCTACCTTCTTTACTGGGGCTGTAACAGAGATGATCAAGTAGGGAGTGGGTGCTTCTGCTTGACAGTAACAAGGTGTCCCTTCCCCCCCCCCCCCCCCCCCCACTGGGGAAGTGTCATAAGTGGCCTAGTGGAGAATTAGGACTTTTACCACTATTTAGAGGTAAAGCCATATCCTTGTGGTGTCAGTGAAGCTTCCTGGGGGGCAGTAATGCAGCACCCCTACCTACTCTTTCCAGCCACAGAGATGTCATTGGAGACTTGATGGGAGACTAGGAATCTCATCCCTGCTCAGCAGTAATGAGGAGCTCCTCCTTTCAGATGTCATCAGAGGCCAAGGGGGAAACCTGAACTTTTATTCCCATCTGGAAGTAACAAGGTGGTATTTCCTCTTCCTGTACCAGAATAATGTCAGAGGAGGACAATTAAAAAACAGGAGTTTTAGCTAGGTCCAGAGTCTCATAAGGTAATAGCTCAAATGACCGCATTTCAGTAGAAAATCACTTGCATACTGAGAACGAGGAAAACCTCAAACTAAATATAAAAAGTCATAGATGTCTACATGGAGATCACAGAGAAGTTAGAAGTGTCTAACAAAGATATTAAAGCATCCATCATAAAAATGCTTCAGTGATGAATTACAAATATGCTTTAAGTAAATTTTGAAAAATAAGAGTCTCAGGGGACACCTGGGTGGCTCAGTTGGTTAGGCAGCTCCCTTCGGCTCAGGTCATGATCCCAGGGTCCTGGGATTGAGTCCCACATAGGGCTCCCGTGGGGAGTCTGCTTCTCCCTCTGCCTGCCACTTCCCCTGCTTGTGCTCTTTCGCTCTCTCTCTCTCTCTGACAAATAAATAAAAATCTTAAAAAAAAGAAAAAGAAAAATAAGAGTCTCAGTAATGAAATAGAAAATCTGAGCAAATAAAAGGTATAGAGAATCAGATGGAAATTTTACAACTTAAAAATACAAAAACCAAAATAAAATCTAGCAATGAATGGAATAAACAGGAAAATGACAGAGGAAAGAATCAGTGAACTGGAAAATAGAAAAATAGACATTATCTAATCTGAACAGCTCCAGGGGCAAGTGGGACTATGATAAGATTTAGTGTTTATATCATTAAGGTCTTAAAAGGAGAGGAAGAAGAGAGTATAGCTGGAAAAGTATGC